CTATGAGGCGACGATGTTCATATGTAAGAGACGCTGATGGAGGACACTGTCGTTTCTAAAGATCCCGACGGTGACAATACGAATAGACATTTATGAGTGACTCTGTTTTGGATTTTCATTTTGGTTTTTGCCTTTGTTAAGTTTGCATTACTGTGATGAAAAAGAGTGATTTTGGGATTTTCACCTTAGGTTCTTCGATTTACTGGTGTACAGTTGATTTTAAACATTTTGCATTATTTCCAGTTGTTAAGTTTGCGTTTTGTAATAAAGTTATGATATATATCTAATGGAGTCGTTAGTGTTTTGTTTTCATGTAATAAAATGCATATAGTGCGGGCGTGCGTTTTCATTGTCCTTAAGTATATATAGCCCCGTAAATGGAGGAATGTGACTGTATATATATGCATGTACATACATTTTGTATATAAGACAATACGCTTTTTTATGTTTTATTATATAATTTTTAAATGTTTTTAGTTATTCGGCATAAACAGGAGGTCATGATGATGATTTAAAACTAGAAATGCCTCATATATAGTGAACATCTCATTGCTTTTTCACGATATGTAAGAAAAAACATGGAATATTTTGCCAAAAATTGTAGTAGACTCAAAAAGTGTTCATGAATTTAAAATCAAGCTAGATCAACACTGAACCAGAGAAGTTCTATATAAAGTGTAGAATTATACAGCAGTGTAAACTGAAATATTTTTAAGTGAATATAAATAAATTTATTACATGCTTTTCGGTGGTTTATAGAAATAAATCAGTGATATAAAACTGGCAATTTCACTGTTTGAAACAGTGAAATAACCACTTTGATAATTTCACTGTTTTGAATTTAAGCCCCTTACGTTGTTTCAGTGAAATACCAGCGTGCACAGTACTGGGTACCAACTTAATGACGTGACGTCGTAACTGACGTCACGTTGTATTATTATTTGGCGCGCTTTTCATTCAGTATTATGTTTAATGTCTTTTTAAAACGTTTCAATGCATATAATAAAAAGAAAATTTGTTTAGTTTAGTGTAATATCGAAATATATTTCACATTGTGAACACCAAAAGTTCATATTTCACTCGTGGCTGCGCCATTCGTGAAATATACCTTTTGGTGCTCACTCGGTGAAATATATTCCGATATTACACTGAACTAAACAAATATCCTCTATATAATAGTAATGAGACCAATATGAAGTAGTGGCGTAAGTTTGTTAAAAGAAGAGGGGCTTTAAAAGGGCTAAACCCTTCCATCAAAGCCCAGAAACACCTACAGGTATCTGACAGGTATAATTGAATGTAGAGTAAATAAATTAAAAGAATTAAAGTTAAATAGTCAATCTAATTGCGAACATTACCAGTAATGTTTTAGTTTAAGCCATATTTGTATAGGGCCAGGCTCATCAGATGACCCAGGGGCTGAGTTACTTTTAGAGCTAAGTTGACCCTGCCAGTTTTGGTGTTAGAATTATCCTGACACCAGAAATATCCTTGTTGTCCACATAGAATTAATAATAATTATAATTCAATACAAAATATTTTTTTTTCAAAGATCCTCATTTACATGCAAGTTATCGCAGTAAAGTCTAACCAAAATCTGGTTAGAAGTTTCTGGTGCGAAAAGTCCATTATCAGAAATGTCCATGAATCAAACATTTGACTGGCGTCTGTTTTGTTCCAATAGTGGATTGAGTTGACCTGCTGTAGTTGGATATAAAGCTGATTTGCCTAAGATAACTATAAGTTGGGAATGGTTTATTGTAACAATGATTTGAAAATTACATGAGTGATGACTGTTATAAGAAATGCATTTATTTCAGGTAGATCTATGTTATATGACAGACTGTTGTGTGAGGTTTTGATTGTGATGTGGTTATTGTTTCATGAGAAGACGTAATGCTGTATGCTGTAAGTTCTGTTTAAATATTTTTAGAAAGACAGTGTTAAGTGGGCGGGCTAACAGTGTAGAACAGTCTTTATAGAAAGACAACTATTTACTGAGCTTTTTATAACATTTCAAAACACATATTTGAAAAATAGATTAGTTAGATTAAAAAACATTTTTGTGTGCTGGTTTTGATATCTGATTATGTAGAATGAGGCTTTTCCCCCCTAAATTTCAAATGAAATTGTTGTTGATTGCTTATTTCAACCTTTACAAAGTATGAGATATAATGTTTATGTTAGATATGAAATGTAATTATTTCAGGTGAGAATCACAGCCTTGTGTGTGAGGTTTAATCAGCATTTGGTTATGTGAAGCTGTCACTTGTTTAAAAAGAAACCTTGAAAACTTGTATTTACTGTTCCTCCTGCATATCAGATCAGGGGTTAGTATCTCGAAGCTGTCGTTAGCATAACGACTATCGTATACCTCTCGTTAAGGTTTTCACCGCTATCTCGACGCTCTCGTAATTAACGAATAATCGTTAACCTGTCCAATTATTAACGGATGCCTAGAGGGTGTCGTAAGGCTCTCGTTACTATCATTTTGACACAAAAGTAAGAAAGGTGCGATTTTAAAGTACATAAAAAATGAGAATTATATCATTTTGTTGATAAAAAATGATGAACCGACATAAATATAGTATTGTATTTCTTTTTCTCATGAATTTTCACAGGCCCGTAATAGATTTTATTGTGTAAATACAGTCAAAGAACTCTTTAGTACAATTCCATAAAAAATATCATTGCTTATTTGAAAGAGATAAACTTGTATTCTTGGATGTAATTGGCTCATTTTTATTGTCATTCACAAAGTTTTACATTTTAAGCCTATCACAGCATTCGGCACGATATGGCCAGTTATGTGTTGACAACCCGTAACAATCCAAACAAACAAAATTTGTCTCACGTATCAAACATATGTAAACTGTAAAGCCTAGTTAAGGTTCTTTACATTTTAATTTAAGACTTATATTTGAATGCGGATGAAAAAAAACATATCATAACTTAAACAGCGAAAGGAATAACCTCCGTAATGTGTAATTTTGCACAAGAAAATATATATAAATATATAAATATGCATACATCATGCTGAAAATTCAACAAAATTCAAACTTGTTACAGAATTATATTTCGAAAAGTAAACTGTGACGGATTAATTACATCATGAAGAAAAGTGCATCACGTCAGCTGCAAAAATCGATACCACAAAAAGGGATGTAATATATAGAAATGTTGTTTGTTTATCATTTCATAGTTACAAATAATTCACTCACGAACACCAGTTGTTATAATTTAACTCGTAATATTTTAATTTATAATACAGCAAACATCCATTGTTTAAAACAAAATGAAAATTTATCCATATTAATTAACAGCAGCCATGTATATATTTAGTAATAAAGATTTTTGACAAGTTATATGGCCGTATATAAACGATAACCCGAGCCGCCAAGTGAGAGTTATATTGCAAACAAAACTATATCTGCCATATATCCTGTTAAAAATCTTTATAACGAATTTACAATACTGCAATAAAAAGAGAGATTTCTTGATAAATTGACAGCAGCTGTGTATATAAACTATATAAACGCCAATTAAAATTGACGTACCAAACTTGCAGTAACAAACGTGCAGTATTATAAAAGATTTTATAATACTGCACGTTTGTTACGTCACTCGTGATATTTTTATAGTTTTATATACACTGTTTCAAGCAATTTTCTAAGAAATCTCACTTTTTATCTCAAATAATGGGAAGTTCGCGGTTTTATAAATTCGTTATAAATATTCCTGACATGTTAAATGGTTGTAGACAATATAATCATCGCCTAGCGGCTCGGGTTATATTTCCAAACAGTCGTTTATATAGGGAAATTTTACCTGTCAAAAATCTTTATAACTAATAATATAAACGTCATGATTATCCAATGAAAATCGACTTTACATATTTAATATATATTTATGCTTATGAAGTCATTGTTTTGCTCATGGCGTCATTGTTATGCGCATGACGTCTTTGCAGCTGTGTAGCAAGTGGGATTTTAGAAAGAGTTGTTGTACATAATTATGTTTGTCTAAAGGGTAAAATTTCGTGAAAATATAGTCCACATTTCACTCAAACGGAGAGCAACAATGAAAGCAACATTTTCAAATTTGAATATTGACAGTATACTTACACCCTAAAACAACATGTTGATAATTATAGAGCCTGAAGAATGAGGGATGGTTATCTGCTCCAGATTTTTTGACTGGTATTGAAAAGAAGCTCTGCCAGAATATTGGCTTTAACTATGTAAAGTGTTTAAAATATTTGACTACACTGGCAGCCGCTGCTGCTAAATCTTCAGTCTCTGCGGTTCTATATACAGTCGTTTTTCCTCTGTTTCTAGTATTGCAGTTTCTATGTTAAGTTCCCGCCCCACCCCTCAATTTAAATCACGCCTGTTTCATTGGAACTTTCAACAGGGGCAGTTCCAATGACTATTCTCTTTTTTTAAAGGAACCGTTTCCGTAGGACTACTATCGATTGCTATTATCAAGGCAATCGGGATTTTCATCGCAAAACAAGTCTATATTGCTAGACGACAGACCGGCGGATCCTGCACGTGTCGTGTGATTGCGTTCCGGTTTAGCATGATCGTAACCTCATATTCACCTTCGTCTACGCAAAATAATGATTCGGTGAATATAAACAAGAGCTGTACACAATTTTCGCGGTACATGTATTCAAATGATAACACAACGCAATCGTTAATAACTAACGAGTAAGCAACGAACGATTGCTTAACTACTGCTTTCGAGATACCCGCGCTAGTCTCTCGTTAACCAACCCTCCGTCAATCGTTAGCACGTTCGTAAACGCAAATATAACGATAGCTTCGAGATACTAACCCCAGGTCTGTATCAGTTGGGTTTTTTTTTTAGTTTACATGACAATAAACACTAAATTTACAAGACTTCTTTCTAAAAAAAACTAGGAGTTGAGTCAGTTGATATGTTATTGACTGAAGTGCGATAAATATTTGATGTAAAATATGAGTTTTTTATTTATTTCAGGTTTGTAATCATAGAATTGTGTGTAGTTATGATTATGACATATTCAGCTGTTTGCAAAGTAACCTTGAAGACAGTATCCCTTTGCAAAGGTAAATAAGCTGCAAGAAAAAAAAATCATCTTATTTGAATAATAATTTTAGTATTTACTTGAATCATAGTGTGTTTTGAAATGACAAAATCATTTTTATATTGCTGTCTTTACATTACATATAATCTTACATTTATTAAAGTCGAACAGCATGAATGCGTACAAAGATTTTTTTGTTTGAATGAATGTTGTTTTTTTGTGTGAGGAATTTTTATCTATTTTTGTAAGGTAATTCAGTTTAAAATAAAGAATATAATTATGATCTCTTGCATTTGAACATAATTTCATATCTTGGAAATGAGCTTAGAATTGAATTTATATATATTTCATGGAATTGAACTTACATATATATCCTGGATTTGAACATAAAAATGAACATGGAATTGAACATATCTTGGAATTGAATTTATATATATCATGGAATTTAACTTATATATTTTTCATCACACTGATTTTTAATTTCGAACTTACTCACATGCCAATGAAAAGTTATTTTTTATTTTTTTCCTGTTTATTACAATGGTTGCTAATTTTTTTTAAAAAAACTGTACTGGAGTACTGAATAAAATAGCTAAAAAAATTAATCAATTCAAAAAAATTATTCTTTTAATGCACCAACCCCTGACCACTAGAATTTGTGAAATTGATGTTTCTACCCCTGCCTAAATAATGCATTCTTGTTCATTTAAACCATCTTCTAGGTGAGCGATTAAGGGCCATCATAGTCTTCTTGATTCTCAAAATTATCATAAAGCACTTAGTTTGTGACTTTACTCCTTGGATAGGCCCTTGGCTGTTTATCATTTGTACAGATAAAATAGTTAAATGGAATGAATTGCTTGTTTGAATATTGAATAATGCGTATGATTTTTATTTCCAGTGTCTTCAGTCTTATAACTGTTCGGTAATATGGGGTTGTACAAAACCAGTGATGGTAATCTTGCAGCCAAAGTAGATTAGACTGCAGCATAAATTGATGAAGGTTCAGCCATGACATTGAATCATAATAGTTGGCGAATTATGTAGGCCATTAGGTGATTTATTTAATTACAGATGCTATGCAAATAATCTGTAAGGAAGAAGATATATATGGAAGGAAAAGTCATTCAGGTTTGTCATTATATAATTTAAATGAAATAAAATTTGTTGTTAATTACATTTGCAGTGTAGGTAATCTCTTCTGAAGTTTTAAGGTATTCACTCTTCAGACAATTGAATTAATTAATCAAACTACATAACCTACTGTAGTTACTGAAATTTATTGTGCATCTGAGTTATAACATTAAGAATACTTTGGGCTATCCTTCTTAGCCAGGTGTCAGTGCCAGTGTGACATATAGGTTTAAGTTTTCTATGCAGCAAGCACTAATGATATTTGCTTGTAATATCACACACTTAATTATGACATAATGAAAGGCCACCATCCAAGGTATGTAACTCCAGCATGGATTTTGGAAAACTTGGACACTTCTTTGTTGAATTTTGCTTGCAACATTATTTTTCAAAACAACCAGAATTGTTTATTTAAATGTTAGTAAACTTCTAAATCACATTTAGTTTATACAGATTTATTTTAGTTTAATTGTGTTGGAAGCTGTAAGCTAATTGAAACATTCTCAAATCATTTCTTGGAACTAACCAGTATTAAGCAATAAATGTATAGTTTCTTGCTCAAGGAAACAACAGATAGCAATCTTGTGGTCCCTAGACCGATTTGTTAACCACACAGCCACATGGTCACATCAAAAATCTTTTTTGATGGTCACTATCCAACTTTAACTGAGAAAATTCTCTTATTATAGGTTCATGTTTTGCTTGCTTTGCAACATTTATCTTTATAAAACTACTTATTCAATTCACTTGCATTTTGAGAAACGACAAAAATTGTTATTATTTATAGTGCCATGTTAACATTTCATTGCAACAATACATAAACCTTCTATTTCTAGAAATATGGATGAAGAGACTGCAATCTCCACAGACGTTGACAGAGCTTATTTCTTCAGAATTATCAACCATTCTTGACTATAAATTGACTTCTCTTATGTTTATTTTATATTTGGTAATATTTTCCATTATTTTCCAATTTCATTTATTTGGATAATATAATGCAACAGAATTTTGAATTTTGCTCAATTTTTGCTTTAACTTCATTATTTATGACTAGATTGTCTGCAATCTTGGGCACAGTAATCCATCAGAAAAAAACATCAAGGAAGGTTTATTTGAACTTTACCTATAAATAACCTTGCTATCCTTGCATATAGTTGAGCATATAGTTGCCGCTTTGTCCGTCCCCTTTTTGTCTGGGACATAACTCTGAAAGAACAAGAGGTATCAACATGAAACTTTGTAGGTATATAAATCTCATTTAGTAGATATGCATTGCACAATTGTCATTCTGCCTTCCCTTATTTTGGAGTTATTGCCCTTAGTTCTTTTTTCACTCTGAAACCATAAGAGGTATCAACAAGAAACTTTGTAGGTAGATCGATCTCATTAAATGGAAGTGCAGTGCAAAAGAGCTGTAATGTTTTATTTTGAAGTTATTGTTCTTTGTTCATTTTCATACTTTAAAAATGTCTAGGACATAGCTCAGAAATATATAGAGAGAACCGACAAGACACTGGTAGATACGTGTCATGTGATAGATGTGCAGTGCCAAAAAAAAAAACCAGAAAACTCTGCCTTGCCTTATTTCGCAGTTATTGCCATAATTATGTTTATTTTTACGCTTGAAATTTGTCCGGGACAAACTCTGACACTATAAGAGATGGAAACAAGAAACTTTGTAGGTAGATATGTCTCAATGGGTATATGAGCAGTGCAAAAGAACATTGACTCTGCCTTGCCTAATTTTCGAGTTATTGCCCTTTGGTCATTTTTTTGCTTTGAACATTGTCCTGGACATAACTCTGAAACTATAAGAGATGTCAACCAATTTTATTTTTTTTACTTTTATTTGAACATGATAATAATGTTTTCTTTGAGTACACTTTACTATAGTATTCATCCTGTGATATGTTTGATTTGTAAGCCATGCATGGTCCCTGCTTAGAGTGCTAGGCAGTGGCCCTTGTTAAAATTTCTTTATTGTTTCTATTGTCTGTTTTGTAAATATGATCACTATTTCATATTGTCATTTTAAATGAATCATTTAAACTATTCATATCTGTTGTTTTTGTAAGGATTGCTTTACTCTGTAAACCTGTTTAGAAAGAAATTGTGACATTATTTTGTCAATGAATTACACACAAGCTTTGTTCAAGATATCACTTTCACTGATGAAGCACTGATCATACAGGAACACTGATCATACATTTTTCTGGAAGACAAAGCTGTCCTGTTAGCAGTATTTCAAATGGACTGCTTGAACACAGGGCTAAATGAATATGGCATATGATTACTGTCTAAAAGATGAGTTATAATTCCCTTGTGGGAATAAGCAATGATATATATTGTTTTTAACTCGACTATTGATAAGAATAAGAAGACCTATCCTAGTCACCCGAGCGTCGGCGTTACCTTTATGTTTAAGTTTTTCAAATATTTGCAAAGTTCATCTACATAATTATGGCTTTGAAAGTTGATATTTTATACACTTCTTTGATAGCACAATAGGACGTATGGCTTTGAAACTTTGCATACTTGTTCACCATCATGCCCCTAGCCAGTAGACAGGAGAAGGTAACTCTTATCAAGCATTTTAACAGGATAATGCCCCTTTTTAAATTAAAAATTATGTGAAAGTTTGCTACCACCGCATTGCAAAGTCTATCGACATCATGCCAACAATCTGTAGATAGGAGGAGATGGCTCTATCTTGTATTTTGACAGAATGATGCACCTTTTTTGGACTTTGAACTTGCGTTAAAGTTTGCATACTGTACCATCTCGTATTTAGAAAAGTCCATTGTCATTTGGCTTTAAAAGTTGAAACTTAATAACATCTTTGAGAGCATAATAGGACTCTCTACAAAACCTATAACTGTAACATTGATTTGAAACAATTTTTGCCCTTTTGTGAACTTTTTACATTATCAAAGCTCTTTTACTATCAAGCACTAAGGATAGTCAAGAGTGCTGTCCTACGGACAATTCTTGTTTTAAATGCCTTTAATGTACAGCAGCTTGTAGTGCAACAGTGACTTGGGTTATCTCTTCATCTTTACTACTTTCTGTATTTTGGTTTGTAACCTTGCCAAACTGTTTTAACATAAGGTTAAATGTCCTTAGTTTCCACATTGTACCATTTGAACTACTTACAACAGTAACTTCACTAAATACGATTTTTACAAAGTTGCAAACATTTACTTACTTTTCACTTTCTCACAGGCTGTGAAAGGTTATTTTCAATGCCTTTCATATGCAGAATGTATTTTATCTCTTTCTATATGGATACTATGTTATTCAAGCTCGTCCGTGAAAATGTGTCTATTTTGGATAATAGTTTTTATTACACAATGATACAAAAAGAATAAAATTAATTATAAATTGCTTTATTAAAGTGACCCGTAATTATGTTGCGATTTTTTATATAATTATGCATATGGATCTCCTCAACACATATGGAGCTCAAATGCAATTTTGAGCAGCAATTCCTTCCGTTGTAGCCAAATCTCAATAAATGTTTAAATCAGGATTTGTCTGAATGTTAAGCATCGCTCTGTATTGAGATTTCTTAAAATCTCTGGGTTTTTAGTCCGTTTAGTGACATTTTCTTCATACACATTGCATATTTTGGACACACCAGAACCAACGACGGAAAGAATGTCTCGATGAAGACTACATAGAAACAAAAATGAGTAATATAGAGGAGTGACATGATGGTAAAATTACATTTCGATTTTCTTAAAAAAAAATGATTGAATTTTATATGACTGTTTAAAAAGTTTTAGCTTCACATCTGGAGCAGCGGAAATTCACACATACTTTTACCGATGTTCATTTTTTAGAGATACATATGGGGTTCTATCCCTGTTTTTTTATTGTGAAACAAAATGTATATGTGTTTCTAGGCACAAAGCATGTGTCTTATGTTGTCGTAAATGAAAGAATTGAAAGCATATAGTCCAATGAAAGGCCAACGATCAGTGGACCCTAGTAGTTACCCGCGAGCTTCGAAACCATAAAAATATTCGAGAAACACCAATTTATTCGGGTCAGCTATTTTTTATAATTATAATCTATAAATAGCTTTGAAATGTCTTTCCCTGATTGGCTAACAAGCAACTTTTTGTAAAAAATAACAGGTCAATATCAGAGTATATTCACTGTTTTTTTCCTAAAATAGATTTTTGCGACGGACGCGCCTTCAGAGCTATGTCATCTACACATCGGATTTCGTCTGTCCTCAACCGAATAACAGCCCAAGAAATAGTATATGAATTTGATCCTATGAAACTCCCATTTGTCGGGATATCTTAAAAACTTCCATATTTAGCTTTTTCAATTTCAAATTAAGTTATCCAAGTTAAAATATAATGCTATTTCGAAATCTCGTCTCGTCGGTATAACTATAACTTGTGAAAGGTAAGGGTTGTTTCCCTTTGGCCGTAACGCCATTTATAATTTTCAGGAGTGGTTACTCTGACTGAAAGGTATGAGTGATTCCCCTTGGATTCTTACGCCATTTGTAATTTCCAGGGGAGGTAACTCAATCTTACTTAATAATGAAAGGTAAGAGTGGTTTCCCTAGGATCCCAACGCCATTTGTAATTTCCAATGGAGGACACTATATCTGAATAAATCGTGAAAGGTAAAAGTGATTTCCCTTTGGTTTCTTACGCCATTTGCAATTTTCAGGAGAGGTTACTCTATCTGACTTAATAATGAAATGTTAGAGTGATTTCCCTTCGTTTTCCTCAGGGAAGGTTACTCTATCTGCATTAAACATGAAAGGTTAGAGTGATTTCCATTTGGTTTCTTACGACATTTGCAATTTTCAGGGGAGGTTACTCTGACTGACTTAATAATGAAATGTTAGAGTGATTTCCCTTTTGGTTCAGGGGAGGTTACTCTAACTGACTAAATAATGAAAGGTGAGAGTGATTTCCCTTTGTTTTCTTCAGGGGAGGTTACTCTGACTTAATAATGAAAGGTGAGAGTGATTTCCCTTTGTTTTCTTCAGGGGAGGTTACTCTATCTGACTTAATAATGAAAGGTTAGAGTGATTTCCCTTTTTGTTCAGGGGAGGTTACTCTGACTTAATAATGGAAGGTTAGAGTGATTTCCCTTTTTGTTCAGGGGAGGTTACTCTGACTTAATAATGGAAGGTTAGAGTGATTTCCCTTTTTGTTCAGGGGAGGCTACTCTGTCTCACTTAATGAAAGGTATGAGTGATTCCCCTTGGATTCTTACGCCATTTGTAATTTCCAGGGGAGGTAACTCAATCTTACTTAATAATGAAAGGTAAGAGTGGTTTCCCTAGGATCCCAACGCCATTTGTAATTTCCAATGGAGGACACTATATCTGAATAAATCGTGAAAGGTAAAAGTGATTTCCCTTTGGTTTCTTACGCCATTTGCAATTTTCAGGAGAGGTTACTCTATCTGACTTAATAATGAAATGTTAGAATGATTTCCCTTCGTTTTCCTCAGGGAAGGTTACTCTATCTGGATTAAACATGAAAGGTTAGAGTGATTTCCCTTTGGTTTCTTACGACATTTGCAATTTTCAGGGGAGGTTACTCTGACTGACTTAATAATGAAATGTTAGAGTGATTTCCCTTTTGGTTCAGGGGAGGTTACTCTAACTGACTAAATAATGAAAGGTGAGAGTGATTTCCCTTTGTTTTCTTCAGGGGAGGTTACTCTGACTTAATAATGAAAGGTGAGAGTGATTTCCCTTTGTTTTCTTCAGGGGAGGTTACTCTGACTGACTTAATAATGAAATGTTAGAGTGATTTCCCTTTTGGTTCAGGGGAGGTTACTCTAACTGACTAAATAATGAAAGGTGAGAGTGATTTCCCTTTGTTTTCTTCAGGGGAGGTTACTCTGACTTAATAATGGAAGGTTAGAGTGATTTCCCTTTTTGTTCAGGGGAGGCTACTCTGTCTCACTTAATGAAAGATATGAGTGATTTCCCTTTGTTTTGTTCAGGGGAGATTACTCTTTCTGACTAAATAATGAAAGGTAAGAGTTATTTCCCTTTGTTCTTGTTTAGGGGAGGTTACTCTATCTGACTAAATAATGAAAGGTGAGAGTGATTTCCCTTTGTTTTCTTCAGGGGAGGTTA